CCCGCAACACACGGACACGCACCCTATTATCCGAAGTCACGACTTTTCGGTAAGAAATTTTCCGACCCAGAGCCATCTTTGACGAAATTAACAACACAAAAGTGTTTTTGGATCAGTAATAATTTAAAATGTTAGTCTTATAAATTTAATTTACTAAATCCAATAATGCGCGTTTTGCTTTTTATACATTTAATCATTTTTTTTATTTATTATACCATCGCATCTACATTACTAATAATTATGTTGCATTTACGTTTATTTTAGTAATAAATATAAGTTAGACTAAATGTCCCCATACTTGTTAAAATTTTCAGGTAATTGTTACATTAATATTTTATAAAGCATATTAAAATTCGCATTCAATAAGAGAAAATATTTATTTATTATTTGGTCGTATCTACTATACTTTATGTCCAAAATTTGTATATTTTTATCATAAAAAAGAAATCAAATTTACAATCAAAACATAACTACCAAGATTTATAAATTTGCAATAAGGAATTGAATCTTTTACTCTTTTATTCTTCATTAATTATAGTGTTTTATTCTCTTACTAGATATTATTTTATATAAGATGAGATATTGAAGATCACTATCTCCACTTTTTATTCGCTTTAAGTTAATCGATTACTTTCAAAGTCACATACCAGAAGACTGACTCTGCCAAGAAAACGAAAACAGTTTTCTTCCCATAGTTCAAAGGTTTCGCAGAATTTCGGGGGACATAAAAACCCGAAGTGGCCAGGACCGAGGAGATAAGAGCTACGGAAAAGCGGAAAAGGGAGCAGCGAGCTCAAGGCCGAGGATTAGCCTAAGGGCTCGAAGATTTAAGAAGGATCTTCGGAAACCGTAGATTTAGGAAGTGCGTGCCCCTACGTCTTCTCACCTCACCTCGTCGTTCTAAATTCGACAGGCAAATATGTACTCTCGCTCCCTGCATTCCGACGTTCGTGACCAAGTCACAATCACGGAAATTCTAATAGAATATAGTTTATTGAAGAACCGGAGTTCTTTGAAAAATTTCCCCCGTGGGAAAGTTCTCAGGCTTTTCTTTTCATTGTTTACCGTGTTTTAGAATAACAAATAATAGAATTCTTTTATTAATACTATTTATTGACAATTTCTAATGTATGAAAAGTATGTTTAAATAAATATATCTACTATACGTATAACTGATTGTTGCAAATTGTAAAAGGTAGATTTTTTTGTAAAATTTAAGAAAATGTTCATAGAGTTATCAGATTTTTGTAGAAACATTAAATTGATATTTATGAAATGTCATAGGGGATTCGAAATGTTAAGTATTCTATTTGGACTGTAAGAACTTAAAATCGTCAAAGTTATTTATTACTTCTTCTTTGTTATTAACTTCAATAAAGATTGCATTTTATTTGCAGCGTAATAAAATCTACAATGGATAAATTACATCTTTGTTTAACTTTTATTCTTCTAAATTAATCTATAAAAACATAAACTTATACAATGATCTTCAGTCTACTGGTTTGAATTTCAACTTATCTTCATAACATATGATTTATTTTCATTTACTTTTACTAATGATTAAATAACGTTTTTGTTGAATCTATAAATGTTGTATACATATTAATTAATTTAGAAAATTTATAGATTATGTTCTCTGTTTCGTAGAAACTCTCTTGTATAGAAGTATTTTTATAAGAACACCAAATAACAAGTAAATAGTATTTAGTATTAGTCAGGTAAATGTAATAGATGACTGATCATTTCTGATGCAAATTGTTAAGTTTTTAAATTGTTTATCAGTTTAATATGTTTCTGTAATATAATATGAAGATATTCCCTTTCTTCTTGATAAATCACACTAATTTATTGGCAAATATAGAATTTACAATTATTAGGGATAATTTTCTTATTCTTCATTAGTGTGTGTTTCAGAAATATTGTACTTTCCAGTAGCAATTTCATCTCTATTTTACACCAGTAATAAAATAGAGCAATATCGCCCAAAATATGTTTACCGCTATAAAGAATCAAAAGAAGTAAAAAAATATGATTTCGTCATCCATAAAGTAAATATTAATATAACATAATGATAAATAATTACATCTTTTTGTATTTCAACCTGTATTTTTATCTCCAAATTTCTGTTCAAATCTTTAACATCAAAACTCAGAGCAATTAAACTCATTATTTACAATTTACTCTTACAAATTGTAAGAAATATTTATTAAAAAAATCATTTGCATCTTTTGAAAAAAAAATGAAATTCGAAACGACTCACTTTGACTTATCTGGAATTTTTAGTGTTAAATTAAGTTCAAATTTTGATGATGCGTTACAGGAAAATTATAGAAACAGTTGACAAATGAGATCGATATGTCTCAAAGTCACACGTGCGGTCTCTGGTTTTGTTTTGCCCTGGCAAACGGACGCGTGCAAATTGTTTCCACCGCATTATCGAGGATCAAGGAAATTCCACCGATAGTCTATCTCATTTACGAGCTTTAACGATCCCTCCATACGACCTTCATCGTCTACACACACAAACTCTTCGTCATCCTGGACGGAAACTTGCGTTACAAACACAAAATACAAGCCTTTGATTCGAGCATTACGATTGCTAATGGTTCCTATGGTCTTTAAACAATATTAGGACATCACCTTTATATTTGTGTTTTTAATTTGCATTTGTGGCTTTAAATTGTCACCTTTCAGGAATAATTCGATGTAAAACGTTGTCTGTAAAATATAATGCACACTCTCCAGGCAATATTTTCTTAGAGTTTATTATTGTTTATTGGGACAGGTAAGAGATAAATCGTTCTTGAGTGTTTTAAATAATTTTCCTCTTGGGCGACAATAATAGTATCACCTGGTGTACATTGATTGAGTAATACTATGATGATAAATACAGAGTGTACTTTGAAAATGAATTCAGTAAAAACATAGTATATAAAACTGTTCATGAGGCAAACTTAACATGATTTCAAAGAAAATCTATTTAAAGTACGGAAATGCATTTTCCGTTGTTTTCGAGGACATTTTTTAACTCTTAATTTCTTTATTATATATGAATGTTTTAATTTTATTATTTTCCTTATTATTATAAATATTACTTCATTCACAATAATAAACAGTAAGACGAAATCCTGAGAAAATATAGAATACCTATAAAATAGTATTTTTGACACTCGATAAACACTTCAAATAATTAAATTCAATCGAATTTTCCAACGTGAATTGTTTATGAATATTTAATGCTTTTGTAAAACTTTCGAAAATTACGTACTGTATGTGTCTATTAAAAATATTAATATATTATAATATAAATTATTCTATACTAATGTACAACAGAATTTCAAGTTACATTATTTTCACTTTAATTAATTTCGAAACAAACGAACCCCAATTATGATATTTTACTAATAGTATTGTTACATACATAAATTTATTGACTCAAAAATATTACTTCTTTGAATTCATATCACAGAATCGCTCACACAATTAATTAACAATTAATAATACAGTAAAGGTAAATAAAATTATTTATTATACGTAAAGTAAAAAAGTAATTCATTAGACGTAGAAACATTGCTACCATATACTAACTTAAACATCTAATGTTGTATTTAAACATCTAATGAAAAAGTATTGTTCTAATATAAATGAAAAATACCAACTTGATGTGATATTTTAAACATTTAAAAAATTTATTTTTATTTAGTGGATATCATTTATTATTATTAGATATTTGAATAATAATTATTGGTATAAATGTGCAATATTACTGAATTTATGCAAAGCATCAGTGGATCCTTTAGATTAAATCAAACTGTTACTGCTTGTTTATAATTTTTACTCTAATTTATGGTGCTACCATATTGAAGTTATTTCTACACAGGTGATAACGCAACGGAGGCTTGATTCATCCGCCGTCGAAAATTTACAGCTGAGGGAACATGCGAGTGATTCGAGATTTGGGATAATGTGCTGTATGCTGTTGCCATGGAAAGTGTATGTAAAACAAAAAAGAATCGGAAGAAAGAAGGGGCGAGGTGAAACAAGGGGCGAGGTACCAAATGGCTGACATATTTAAATAGAGGGTGCTGCTTCGTGCACCTTTGTAAACGAGAAAACTTGTTGCTCGTTCGCATCGTAGACAAAGAGTATTCAAATTATGATAAATAAAATTTCCCACGTAAAAATTTGAAATGAACTTTGACAGTATAATTTGTTTAACAGATTAAGTAGAAAATACAATAATATAAATTCAATTTTACTTCTTTTTCTGTTAAAAAAGGAGCACATGGTAGAGAGTGTATTTACTTTACGTATGTAAAAACGTGGAGAATGAATGAAGAATTCAATAGAAAAGGTACAGTCATTTTATTATCATAACTTGATATTCAATCGTTAATTACATTATATAGAATCTAAATTACCTATTTTTACCATTCACATTTAATTGCAACTATAATATGGTACATGTATTGATGTAGAGTTACAAATGTATTAATAACAAATTAATGAAGAAATTTTAAGAGATGGAAGATCGAATATTTTCGTCCAATTTCATTTCTATTTTCTTGTGCATTTTGCATACATTTAACAGTGATAACAATTTTTGCAAACAAAAATAATTTCTTTCCTTAAATTCTTAATAACTTGTATACTTTTTCTAATAATAACAATACTAATTAATATTCAAAGATATTCTATTAAAAAAGAAATGTTAATGTGACATTTCGATACAGTAAAACAAGACTGAAACGAATCTCCCTGATTCAAACTTTTGAATCAAAATTCATCGTCAGTCTCATAAAGATTCTTTTTTCCAGTAAAATGATAATGTTACATTGAAAATAGATTTGAGTACCATAGGATATTTGTTAATTTCGCATGCATGTTAGCATCGACTGTTCCTCAGACAATACAGCGGAACGATTCCTCCGGCTTTCATTCGTTCCGGCAATTTAATATTCATTGAATCATAGAAGAAAAAAAAGAAAACACAGACTCACCCGTGCTGGAGGCGGATTTGCTGAGATCGAATCCTTCCTGTTTGGGGCTGGTGTTCGCTTCTTGCTTCGGGTGTTGATTGTGCGCGGAGAACGGCGTATGGGGCGCGCTCAGAGGTGTCTGCGACTGGTGAGGATGCACCGGCGGAGGTTGAGCAGTGTTCTGCGACTGGGACTGTTGGGATTGATTTGATTGAGGGCTCCTCGGTAACGAGGACACACTGCTCGGCCTCGAAGGTGGAGAGACCTTGTGTGTCAATGCCAAAGCTTGGCTCTGCAATGTTCAATTTTATGCTTAGAATACTATTCTGTGTGCTTGATTTTAACCCATTTGCATCATAAGGAAGTATAAAAAAAAGACCTCATCACCGATTTCCTTTTTTAAATTTTATTTAACCCCTTGACTTAGAATATCGTACTAGACTCGTGACAAAAATTGTAAACTGAGTTTGAGAAATCTAAATGTTATTTATTGTTTTTAAATATAACTTAAATATTATTTTTTTTATTATCAATCGTTAACCTTTGGAATAAACGTAGACGTAGAATACGCATCAAAATGGTTTCTTTTCATAATAAATTATTAACGATGAAGTTATAGTTTTGGTATTGGTTATAGCTACGAAATAAATTATAGGGCAAGGGGTTAAGTAGAAAAATTACAACAAGTAGAACGAACTACTACTAATTAGGAGCACTACTTTTATTTCCGATAACAACCTTCATTTTTATTTTCTAGTTGACGGAAGATATAACGTCACACTCAATTCTCTTGTGATAATGACCAACAATATTGAGCGTATATGTACAGTAATGATGCAAATGGGTTAACCCCTATGATAGCAGATGTTTATCTTTGTTCACATTGTAATTTGCAATGTTTTCAGATAAACTTTTCATTTTAAAATCACGAATCGACGTAAAGTGAATAAAACATTGGAGATTGGAAGCACCTTCTGGAGAAGAAAATATATCAGTGGGAAGTTGTACCAGGTTGGTAACATGAGGATTAAACAAATGGTAAGTTGGATAGTTCATTTTTTTTTCGTTGGATTATAATTCGAAGTTCGATGAAACTCTATTTGCATGAGAAAATAGAGAATGTAAGATGTAATGTAAGCAGGTTAATACAATGTGTTTTCTAATTTTCTTCCTTTATACATCATTTCATTCTTTCAATTCTAATCTATTATCTAAGACTGTATTGAAACTGTATTTTCTACATGAATGATTTTAATCAATATCAAATGAACTGCACTCTATTTAATTATACGAACTTTTTAGGTTCTAATTTTTCGAAAATTTTTAGATACTACAGATGCACAAAGTAAAATTAAAATAGTAAAGTTAAAAATAGTCTATAGTACAGATTGAAATCTCAGCACACACAAACATTAATATTGAATTAAAGTGATATATTTCATTTCATTTCACGTGACGAGTTTAATTGCAACCTTTTCTTCTAAATGAATTACAAATAAGTGATGTAAATAACTTTTTTTATAACATGGACCTATTCGCTCCAAAGGTAACCTTCGATCCAGAAATACAAATTCCTTTAATTCCCTTACCTTTTTTGAAAATTATCAAATACCACAATTTCCATGAAAATGATAAAAATTTCGAATTATTATTGATCTCCATTGAAAATCCTTTACATACATTGCTTTTATACGTGTAAATATCTACATATGTGATATTATTGTACTCTTATCAAGTTAGTATTAGATTGCAATTATATTATTAAAAAAGTGCTTTTATGATTATCTGCATGGTTTGATATAAATATCAACTGATTAAGATATTAACTCACAAAATACAACGTTTGAAGTTTAAAGAAACTTTTAATGTTCGAGTAGATTTTAGTAACTTCCATTTTGTAATTTTAAACCGTACCATGTACACTTTATTTTTACGTTTTCTATGGATATTGTCATGTTTATATATTTCATAAATTAACATGTGCTCTAATAACTTATAATCATTTGTTCAAGAAATTAATATTAAATTTGATAAATAGGTATTAATTAAATGTATTTATATTATTTAAGTTTATACTTAATAATGTCAAAATAAGTGTTTTATACATATCTAACACCTTATTTAAAACAAATCATTTTTATATTTAAGTAATAATAAAAGTTAAGAAATATATCGATTTTTATTTGAAAATAAATATGAGTGTGACAGTTTATGTCTAAATTTTTAATCCGATTTCGAATATTTTTAATGTGTCCACTACAAAAATGGCAAATTCTTCTTAATACTTTGATTTAGCAGTTTATCTCTGAACTATTTTAGAATTATCATATCTGCTCTTCAAGCTTAAAATGTATTCTCTGTCTGGAATCTAATATTCCTCCGGAAAATAAAAAATAATACGTAGTGTAATAAATACACCCATAATGAAAATATTTCAAACATGAAACATGAATCTATTCTTATCTAACAAAATATAAACCATTAATAAAATAAAAGTTCTTAACTATTAATGTAATTTCTTATTTCAATCGATAAAAATATAAAACTGCAACATTTCAAGATTCAATTATAACTACATGTCCAGTGTATTGCATCAAATAATTTTAATCTTACACACTTTAATCTTTATCATATTATATAACAGCAATCAAAGAAACTCCACGTATTTTCACTAGTTTAGTTTCTAACTTTTTAATTGTAGCAACAATAATCGGCACATTCAAATTTCCATTTGCTATTTTCATCGCATATCATCTCAATACATTCATTGATCATAAAAGTCAACAATTACCAGATACTCATTGCCATTTTAACCAGTTAACTGCGTTCGACGAGTATATACGTCATCTTAAAGCTTGAAATGATACTAATTTTTTCAACGATGAATTCTTTCGTTTTTCAGATAAACATATAATACTTCGTTGTTTTAATTTGGTTTTTCACTAAAATATATCCTAGGCGCATTCGTCCTCCGTTTGACGAGTACATACATCATTTTTTGATTTTATTGCGCGTAAAACAAGAGACTTTTCAAACTAAATTCCACAGTTAACAGGTTAAAGATGCCAACCGAACATCAATACGAATTCTTCGATAAATTGATTACTATTGACGACGACCGGAGTCGAGTGAATATAAAATTGAGTAAATATTACAGAAACTGGCAACCAATTGGCCGTGTACAATAATAGACAGAAGAGAAGCGACGTAATGATTTCATCATTAATTCCGATGAGGAGACTGTCTCAACATAGTCGAATCTGCGACGATTCGGTCGTATCGAATGAGCCGGATGATCTAAGCGTTGTCGCCGATGAAATCTGAACACGTGCTCAATTCCGACAGCGGTCTGCTAAGACATAAGCGCGGACTTAGATTTATGTATGAGTGAACTGAACTTAACACTAACGGCTAAGCCGTTCACAGTGTTAACGAGGGTCAAGTGGGCCCAGAATGCGACAATCCTACACTATAAGACCGAAGTGCGAAATGCACCGCGGCGGTTTTCGCCGTCTGAAAACTGGATCGTCGATGACGCTTCCGTGGAACTTGATGATCAAACTAACGGGAAATCGTTTACCCTCGCACGAACTATCCTCGTGTCGTCACAACTGTTCTTATTTTAACATTTTATTGAACATTGTTGTATCTCAAGAGGAGATCTCTCCTTTGTCTTTGACATACATATATTTTGAGGAGTCCAATGTTAACGTAGACAGATTCTGCGGTAAAGAATGTGGTGTAGTATTTGTGTCATGAATAATTTTACTGAAACATCGTCTCGTTTTGTCAATGAAATTAAAATTATTTAATAAAATTTATATATTCAATGTATTATCTATATGATTGAGTTAATTAGTAATACTATTGGAGACTTTTCAGTATATATTCAGTGTGATATTAATTTGTGTGCAGTTTAATAACGAATATCGTTTAAAATACTTAAAATTATTAAATGGTGAATTTCTTTTTCAAAAAGTATATTAATATAGTATGTAGTTTGAATGGTATATTTAAAAATTACAATTCATGTGATTTATTTCTTAAATAGTACGTAATTAACAGTTTTTCAATTATACATACTTTAAAACCAGTCAATATGCAAGTGGAAGTCAAAGAAATATGTATATTAATTTTAATATTAATTCATAACCCATATTAAATCATCTTCCATCTATGATGAATAAGAAAGAAAATATTCAATGTGAATAAAGTTTATGTAGCAATTACTTATTACAAAAAAAACAATGAGAAACTAAATAATGAACGAACAATAACCTAATCGAAATATATCTGCAGTACAATTATATACATTAAATTATAGATATATGAAATGATAAAAAAAAGTTAACAATTTTTAAGATAAATAATACCCCCCAAATGATGAAAAAAATCCTAATAAAATGACTATTAATATTTCTAATATTATAGACCATTTTATGTTTTGATTAAAACGAGTGGCTCTCGCGTTTTGGGAGCTCTTGTACTGTATGGAAACTTATTATTTTTGCTTTCCTGGTTATAATAATATTTTTACTGTGATAATTCTGTGTATAATACACGTGAAAATTAAAAACACATATAATATACTGTTTTAGGCAAGGTACAATGGAAACTCCCAAAATGAAAAAGTCAGGCAGATTAACAGAAACAAAAAATTATTTATAACTTTAAACATATTATATTTCTGATCCATTTTTATTATTTTTTTCATTATTTGACGAGTACTATCTACTATAGAAGTTATGAAACCTTCTCTTATTACCCTGTCAATATAATAAGTTAAATGTTTTAGACAATAAATGTGATGCAAAATAAAATTAATTTCAAAATCATACATATACAACTTAAAAGGGATTACAAATGCACTATGACTTAGGAATCATTATGAACTTGGTTGTAAATATCAATCTAAGCTTTATAATTAATGTTATATAATATACACAACAAATCTATAAATAAGCTATTAAAAAAATTAAAAAATACAGTATGAAATTCTATTATTAGTTTATTTATAGGTGTAATTTACAGGTCTTAATTGTAAAAAAATTGGTAAGGTATGATTTAGAAAATAAGTAGGATGTAAACAATTTTTCCTAAGCTACAATTAATTTATTAGTTTAAATCATGTGGAGAAGCTGGAAATATTTATGTAAATACGTCCCGGATTTGTTAAAGATAAAAGAAAATGAAACCTACATTATTTTTCATTGGTGTTCTTTGGTTGTAGTTTTTTGTTTTATTATAGACCGTGGACCATTCACCTAAGAATTAGCACTTTACTACATTTTT